ATAAACAAAACTTTTGGCCTGCCTTAAGTGTAAGTGTAAGCACCTAGATTATTACCGGGTCAGCATATTAGACTAGATCAAAGTTTTTCATTTTGAACTCATGGTAAGGGAAAAAAATATTGAACCGATTACTTTTGAGCAGTAAAATACTCAACTAGTATTTTATGTGTTATAAAATTTAAACCGAGTTTTATGTGTAGTAACGCATATACAGTGTTGTGCATAACAAAAGCAACCAATATGAGCACATCAAATAAAAATTTTATTTGTCTACTCTTTACTTTTTATTTAAAAACTTAAATACATAGTTTTATTTAGTATTGTCTTAGCTACCATCAAACAACAACAAATAATTCACAAAAATAATGAAATATTGATTCGTCTATAATAGGAGAAGCGAGTTGGTGCTCATTCACAGCACAATAGAAAGTTCTTAATGCACTTCAAAGGTGCCAGAATCAAATATGGTCTATCAAATAGTTTTGCACTCTAATATCAAGGAAGAGAAAAAGTTCTATTATCGATGTTTTTACAGCTAACAAAGACAAAGACTGCTATCTAGTCAAAATAATATTTCGACAGACTATCTATAATTGAAAGGATAAAAGATGCAAATAGAAGCATTAATTAATGCTCGATAGAAGCATTAATTAATGCTCGATAGAAGCATTAATTAATGCTCGATAGAAGCATTAATTAATGCTCGATAGAAGCATTAATTGTTGTGTATAATGTACTAACAAGCAATTTTATTAACTAGATATTATTAGGCAAGTGACTAAATAATTAATCAAGAATTGTATGCACTGAGAACCAACTATTAACATTTGTGGAGAAAACATGGAATAATTGAAGTGAAAATGAAGAAACAAAAAGCTAAATCATTTTGTGGCAAAATTTCTATGAAGGTACCCTGAGACTGAGTTTTCTTTTAAATAACTAAAGTTGTGCAAATATTTCATATCTATCGAAATCAAGCAAAAGCAAAAAACTGCCTACTGACTTGTATATTTCTCACCTGTGTTGCAGCATAAGGGTTTAAAGCAATTACTGGGCCAACTCTTCTCCATTAAATGGTTAAATAGTAAAATGTATGTGAAAATTAAGTCTGTTTAAGTCGTTCGAAAACATAATGATTTGCTGATCTGTATACTGTTCAAATTTCTTAATGCTTTATCTTCAGACTTCAGAAGCGGTCGAATCTATATTTAGTAACTACTCGTCTTTTCACACAACAGTGCCGGTCATCATGTTTCCACTGCAGCTAAAACTACTTGTGTTGATGAAATTAAGATTTGGTCATTTCCATTGGCATAAGTTGATTTATGCATGTGAAATCGTTTGTTTGTTTACATTTAATATATAAAACATATGATAAATATTTCAAATTTTGATCATTTCCCTTGTTGAAAATTTATTTTTAAGGTTTGCATTCGACATTTTTCGCCTTAATTCAGTTGATTTATTTATAATGAGCTCATTTATATGAAAGCTTTTTGTATGGTAAATTATCTTCAGTAGCGCCCATAATAACCAAAACTGCCTAAATCAGACACGTGGAAACATGACATAACAACTATAAAACTATTTCATATTTATAGTTTTTGAATTTGAATGTAAAATTAAGAATTGCAAGTCTAACAAGCTAAAAATATCTTTGCAACAAAGTTAGCTTTGAGCATAACTAGATTGCACATAATTATTTACGTGTTTAAAACATAACAAAATGAAGCTTTGTGTTTTTGGTTCAGGGCTAAAATTATGTGAAATGTGATGAACAGATTGACTATCTTACCATATTTATCAAATATATATTTATATGACAATGTAGAGATCTGCTCTACAAAAAAAAAAAATAAAGAAATTATTGGGGTCATTAAACATTGACCAAGAATAGTTTCAATTGGTAATTATTCACTATTTATTATTCTAATGCCTACCTCGTTCCACACGATCGTTTATTTTTCCTCGCCATTACTGACACTATTTTCAGTATATGTTTCCCGCTATATAGATTTTTATAAGCTACAACAACATCAACAACAGCAAATGAAATAAATCTCAAGTAAAAAATTATAGAGCGAGTCCTATGGGCAGATTAGAATGTATAAGAACGTATAATATTCCTGTGCTCCAATATAGAATATATAGCCTAGCACGAATTTATTGCAACTTTAAGATTCCTGTTTTACTATCGTCGCAGATTCTATACATGCCAACTTTGGAATTACCTCAACCAGCCTACTTATCGTCAAATATGCCAAACAACAGTAATCGAAAAAATAATAGAAAATAAAACTAGCACCATAATCAGTAGCCAAAATAAAAAAAGACAAAACCTATACAATTAACTAAAACTGATTATATACATACATACATCATTATATAATACATATACGTAATATGGTTTATAAGACCTTGGAAATAAAATCTTGTTTGAGTACAAATTATAAAAATAATTAAAATTAATATCAAAATAATTTTACATACTCTAGTTTTGTGCTTAAATTGAAAATATACCTATTGGTAGTAGAGGAATGATTTCTGATAGACATCACATTTTAAAAATATTTATCAACAGTTTCATTGCTCAATAATGTCAAGATCTGCTTACAGATCTTATAATGTACTCGGATCTGCTTACATTGCGTAAGTTATTGCTGTTCGCTTAAAAGTAAACCTTAAAATTGTGTTCAGTTTCACTTCGTTATGGATAATATTTTCCTTCTTACTTTAGAGTATGTAAAAGAATCGGTTTACCTCATTGGGTTCCGATTCTTTAGGCGCTAGCGACTTCGCTTTGTTTTTCTGCTAACATTTCCCTCGATGATTATCTATCGAATTATAAAAAATAAGTTTTAATAAGTTTTTATAATTATCAAGAATGTTTTTTTTATTATTTTAATATTTTATTTTATTAAAGAAATTACAAAATAAAAACATTTTTGAACTTTCTTGAAATTTTTCGTTCTTGAGTTATTAAAGTAGTCGTAATTTATATTCTTGACAAAATTGGGCAATTATAGTAGGAAAACTTCTATCGTAAATCGATTGCTCTTCGGCGTTAAGGTAGTTAAACTGCCACAAAAGAATAAAAATAATATTACAATTATATATTCATTATAGATTAAAATTAAAATAAATAAAATTTAATATACTCGTAATATACAAAATTTAAGGGTAACAGATCCAATTACAAGACTTTTTAGAAATGTTACTAAACGTGAAGACAATTCAAACGCGTCGCTAAAACGATCCCTTACTGAAGTACTCTCGAAATTTCATGGACGAATAGAAGCACTATAATTGTGTCTAAAGTCATCGTTACTCAGGATATCGGTATAAGTCTTTTGGATTGTACCTACGAACAGAAATTACTTTCCTTTTACCAGCATATATGCACATTTTTTTTTTTAAAAAGTAAAAGCCGCACAGTGCCTAATAAGGTAAATATGGAGAGTGGTTGACAGTAACATATGGTTTTTAGTCCCAAAACCTTCCATAGATAATTTTTTGATTTTTAATTTTTAGTCTTCAGTTAACTTGTGCAGAAACCTTGTACACACTTTTCGGTAACCAAATGCTTATTTAGAGTATGATAAAGTAATTTTTAATGGTACTTAATCATAATTATAAGAATTTCACTAAAAATGTTGGCTGGTCTTTGATGAATTCATGCATAGTTCTGGAGGAATCTGAAGTGATCAAAAATGATCACGAAATGTACTTATTAAAATACTTATTAGCATATATATTGCTCAATATTTATATCCTCCGCTTTTAAATCTGTCAAGGAAAAAAATTGATTGCCATAAACTTAGTTTATGCATTAAAATATTTTGATATAATTTCTAACAAGTTTAAAATAAAAGTTATTACTAATATTTATTCGACGTAACTTTAGACTCAATAGCTCCACCTTTATTTTGCACATGCATAAAATTTTGAAAGTACATGAGGAAAAGAGATGACTATAGCACACGATTCCTAAGACATCATGTCGTCTTTAGTAACAATTTTTAAAACGTCCTATATATATATATATATATATATATGACTAAATGTATAAGTTTAATATAGTAATAATAACTTTTATATTACTATAGCACTAGATTTTTAAATTATAATCATTTAAAAACGCTAAGTCATATACTAGTATACTAGATATGAATTTAGCTCCATATATTAAATATATTTTATCCTATTATTTTTAGAATAAAATTATAATTTTATAACAAAAATAATTTTTATAAATACGCAACATACTTGCAATATTTGACTGGCTTCATATACTGTTCCTGGTAATAAAATAACTGGCGTTGAAACATGTCCTGACTCTACGCAGAGCATATTGGGAAACTCGTCATCTCCAAAATCATTGATTTCTCTGGCTTGATCTATCCACGGATTCCAAATGACTACAAAAACATGCACGTTTTTTACTTATACAACTTTAATAATACAAAATTATATATAATTTTATAAAACGAAATTATATATAATTTTATAATACGAAACTATATGTAATTTTATAATACTAAATTATATTTATATATGTGGCATTTTACCTGAAGCAAACACTAATATTCACCTAAATACAAAATTTATTATTTACGTAAATTGGGTTAAGACAGAGATGTGCATGCTAATGACGGACTAAACAATTTGATTAGTTATGATAGAGAATAAATAACGAATATCATTGTTATATGTCTACCACATAACATAATTATAAACAATCTTAATTTGCGAAGTTTTAGTAATGATTTTAAGAATTTATGTGGATTTACATTGGACCACGAGATCGTGGAGATAAGTTTGTAACCTTCTTCTGTAATTAACTGTAGCATAGCAAATTGCTATTCAATATGATATTTGCTATATTTACTTACGAATAAATTAAAAATAAAAGAATACTCATGAGGAGTATCCAGTCTGACTTGCAAAATAATTGCAAGATGCATGAAATGCAAGAACGTTTTACTAAAAGTGCAAGAGTCCGAGAACACCGCTGTTAAAGAATTGCAACATTAATATGAAACAGCTGTTTTTACAGCATACCACAACCACATGAGAAGTAACACATGTAAAACAACTGTTCTCTTTTTTTTTTGTTTCGTTGCAAGTATATTGACATACATGCGTTTAGGTATAGCAAGATTGCAAGCAATAGCAAGAAACTTTGTGTGTGTATTCTATTGTTGTCCATTGCAGGCATGCACCCTACAATAAGTTTGTAAGACGGAGTGAATTTCCGTATGGTACATGTTTTGCTTGCTTTTAGGAGCAATGAATTAATTCTTATTTAATTAGTTAAGCTTAATTTTTATTTGTATTTATAATTCATAAATTTGATTTAGTGAAACTTTCTTAACTTTTGATGAGTATTTAATGTCTGCTTCATTTAAAAAAAACTCCATAAAATTTACTTAATATATTTACTTATATTACTCGTTGTTTTATCACTTACCAGTATCAGGTAAATTATACTTTTGTAATCTCATTTTTCTACCAGAAACAACATTTGTAATAATATGTTCTTGTGGTGTATTATGGTACACACGATCAGTCCATTCACCTACTGTAACAACTTCTCGGCCTTCCTGATATACAGTACCGTCTCTCGTCTAAAAGGTTGAAATATTAATTTTATGAAATATATATATATTTTTAAAGTTATAACTTTGTCAATAAAAGTGCAGCCGTGCAATCCAGTAATTTGGCATCGACGAACATCAGGAACTTTCAAGTAAGTATGTAGTAACATATTAAATGAAAAAGACAAGTCCTTACTAGGATTATAGACCCCAATATGAAAATGTAATTCTTTTTCTCGTAAAATTAAACGATAAGTTATTTGAAATCTACAAATAAGACACATATTTTCAATTGTAAATTAAAATTTTATGCCATAACAACTAACTGATAGTTCCACATAGAACGTGTAAATTCGTTATCCGATAACGAAAAAATAGCTTCTATGTCACCATTGTGTAAACGTTCTGGCGGTCTTTCTAGTTGCCAACGAGTGATACGTGCGAATCCGTGTTGTGGGCCAAAGGACCATGGACCAAACATCGCTATATTTAATAAAAAGTTAAAAATATTTCAATATGTGTATTAAGAAAATTCAATTAAAAAATAAATTTTATTTAATACTTACGGAACACAAATGGAATACCACCACGTATAGCCTTCTTACCATCAAACGACGCAAGTTTGCTAAAATATTTACAAAATTAAGAAATTAATTAATTAAATCTAAGAAATTTTATATTTCTTATTCTATATATAAATAATATTATTAATCAAAATTATTACTTGAATTTTATTGCAAAAATTGTCTTTCTAAGACAGAAAAGACATGCCAATGTCACCACTATATATAGTATACTCTAAACATATTAAAAAATTGTTTGACATAATCTTCGTAATGATCTACTCAGTACTACCTGCGTTCGCTTAGTTTATCATATTATTTTCTACATACCGTTTGAGACGTTCAACAATATTAGTTTTAAACACATCAATTAGATTCTTTTGGTGATAAAAATGGTTGGTCTCTGATGTGTGAGAATAAACAACCATTGGGTAGAAAATCAGGACTGTATTGTCGATAATCCATTCACTCGATGTTTTGGGTATTGGGTATTGACATAGTGAAGAATTATTCAATCAATAAAATTCTATCATTGACTATTTTTTACAACGGATAATGCAATTGTTATATATAATACTCAAAAATTAAAAAACTAGTATAAGAAAAAAATAGCCCGAAAGAATTCTGTTTAACCCTTAATATTATATTTTTACTGTTTACTTAATAAGTTTAACTTATTAAATAAATGTCATTAACCATACAAAGATCTTCCGTGCTTTTTGTGAATGCTTTTCCGTGCATTCACAATGTCTCATTTAGGTGGTTTTGCTCATTATAGCCACTAATGAGAATAATTTACCATACAAAATTCTTTCATATAAATGAGGTCATTATCAATAAATTAGCTCATTTAAGGCAAAATGTCGAATGTAGCCATTAAAAATTAATT